TAATTTTGTTATTGTTCTATTAAGAAACACTAGACATCAAGTCATAGCTGTATAGTTTCTCCCTTTAAACAAGACATTCTTTAATCATATCTACTCAAAAGAAATTACCTCCATATGGGTGAAGACAAAAACTCAACCCTCTTGAAGATTTTTCCTGATTTTCCAGGTTATTCGTCCCCTTTTAAAGAATTTTCCTGTACATAAACAAATGATTCTTAATAAATTTGTCATAATTTTTATTTTTCATTTTTAAATTCCATGTCAAACACACTGAAAATTTTTAACATGGTTTCTGCATTTTGAAATTCTAAATATGGATCATTTTGAACACTATCTATATCTGGTAAAATTCAAATTCAGTCCTTTTGATGTTTTAAAGACCATCTCTAATTGGTGATTTTCTAAATTTAAGGCAGCAACTCATTCTCAATACAAGTAAGTGTGTGTTACTATATCCTGTTAGTTGATCTACATTATAATCAAATCCCACACAAACCTCTGGCTGACCCAGAATCTCCTACACAAACCTCTGGCTGACCTGGAATCTCCCACTCTCTGCCCTTTGGGAGGGATTCTCTGTCTCAGTACCTGTAAATTACCTCTACTTATCTAAGCTTAAATTAGGCCTGATTTCCACCTGTGCAGGTGAGAATAAGTCATTTGACAGCCACCAATTATTCTGTGACATAAGCCATTAAGATAAGACGTGGAGATAGACTGGTATTGTAGATCTACAACTAATGGCTCATCCAATAGGTCCTCAGTGATCACAGCATTTAAAATACTCTCCCTATATACATACCGAACATTGAAAACTTTGAGTTCACCTTGAGAAAATTATTCTACAGGTTATACAATATATGTGTAAGTAAAGAATGGAATGGACTGAAAATTATCCTTGCCAATGCTTATTATTTCTAGTACAAATCTTGTGTTTTTCCATGTACATGCATAAGTAATTCAGCCAATACTGTGCTGCTTACATGAGGAAGTAATTTTGCCAAGTCCTTCTGATAAAATGCAATCAAATTGACAACTTTAAATAAATATGTAATCCCTGATCAGAAAATCAAAATGCAGATTATATGAGAATTTGGTTAAGATTAATACAATACAATGATTCATATTAACATTAATAAATTATAAAGGGTAATTTCTAATTTCTCCGGACTGAAACATTTAAAGTAAACTCTAGCCTATTTCTTATTTCTCAGGACTGAAACATTTCAAGTAAACTCTAGCCTATAGCCATCCATTATAACAATACAGATATATTTTCCTTGTGATTTTTCTTTGCAAATAAAACTCATTCACAATGATGATGACAAATGAGGCTAACAACTATGGCCAAACAAAATAACTAATCATCATTCTTTCTTCAAAATCTAGTAAAAAAATCCTGATCTTCTAGTAGTTTGATTGGGGTTTTTAAAATTAAAATTAAAAGAAATGTACGTACAATAGGAGATTGAACTTTGTGTGGCATATATATTTTTAGTAATATACACTTAATGACTTGCTTCTTCAATAGGAGGTTATCGTACCCCTCTCGTGAACCTTGGATTCCTTCCAAACTGTCGGAGAACTGTTCCAAGTAGACCAACAGTGAGTGTGTGTGTCTGTCTGATAAGTAGGTGGTGGGTTAGAATCCAGCCAGCATTTGCCAGTGCAGCAAACCCAATTTTAAACATTTTTAACTCTTCACACTTCGACTGCATGTCTATAATCAGCTGAACTATCATATCACGCCAATGTCTCAATTCCTGAAATATTCCCACTTAACAGTACAGCAATGTAAGAACATTAACTCTGCTATCACTACATCACTATTGTAGGCATCAGGCTTAGCTGTCTGCACCCTTGTCTATTATAACAGTATACATTTAAGAGACAAGCATGCACCTGCAGCCTTGCACAAAAATTACACACAAATTTTGCCAAATGTGTATTAAATTTTGCACTCATTTTCCCTAGTGGCCTTTCCAGTGCAGTAGAGTAACTGTTAAATTGGTGCTAGAGCAAAGTACATTGAACTTGTACAATCAGTAAAGGATAATTAACATTAGAAAGTGAACACTACATAGAGATGCAATCTTATAACACAGTAAAGCTGTTTAATATCAGTCTTAATCTTGTACAATCTTACATATCAAATAAGATATAAATCGGTCTGCATACATTAAAATATTTTTTTTTACAAAATTTCAAACTGAAACAGATTTTAACAAAATTAGCTGCCTAACCGTACTTACTAGTTGATCCTCTTTTAAACGACATTGGTCTGAATGCATGAAGGAGAGAGCATAGTAATGCTGCATAGCTGTCCCACTTACTTGTCATAGTAATGCTGTATAGCTGTCCCACTAATTGTCATAGTACTGCTGTATATAGCTGTCCCACTTACTTGTCATCCTAATGCTTTATAGCTGTCCCACTTAATTGTCATAGCAATGCTGTATAGCTGTCGCACTTACTTGTCATAGTAATGCTTTATAGCTGTCCCACTTAATTGTCATAGTAATGCTGTATATAGCTGTCCCACTTACTTGTAATAGTAATGCTGTATAGCTGTCCCACTAATTGTCATAGTACTGCTGTATATAGCTGTCCCACTTACTTGTAATAGTAATGCTGTATAGCTGTCCCTCTTACTTGTCATAGTAATGCTGTAAAGCTGTCCCACTTACTTGTCATAGGAATGCTGTATATCTATCCAACTTACTTGTCATAGTAATGCTGAATAGCTGTCCCACTTACTTGTCATACTTATGCTGTATAGCTGTCCCAATTACTTGTCATAGTAATGCTGTATAGCTGTCCCTCTTACTGGTCATAGAAATGCTGTATATAGCTGTCCCACTTACTTGTAATAGTAATGCTGTATAGCTGTCCCTCTTACTTGTCATAGTAATGCTGTATATCTATCCCACTTACTTGTAATAGTAATGCTGTATAGCTGTCCCTCTTACTTGTCATAGTAATGCTGTATATCTCTCCCACTTACTTGTCATAGTAATGCTGCATAGCTGTCCCACTTACTTGTAATAGTAATGCTGTATAGCTGTCCCACTAATTGTCATAGTAATGCTGTATATCTCTCCCACTTACTTGTCATAGTAATGATGTATAGCTGTCCCACTTAATTGTCATATTTATGCTGTATAGCTGTCCCACTTATTTGTCAAAATTTTGCTGTATAGCGGTCCCACTTACTTGTAATAGTAATGCTGTATAGCTGTCCCTCTTACTTGTCATAGTAATGCTGTATAGCTGTCCCACTTAATTGTCATAGTTATGCTGTATAGCTGTCTCACTTACTTGTCATAGTAATGCTGTATAGCTGTCCCACTTATTTGTCATAATAATGCTGTATAGCTGTCCCACTTACTTGTCATAGTTATGCTGTATAGCTGTCCCACTTACTTGTCATAGTAATGCTGTATAGCTGTCCCACTTACTTGTCATAGTAATGCTGTATAGCTGTCCCACTTACTTGTCATAGTAATGCTGTATAGCTGTCCCACTTACTTGTCATAGTAATGCTGTATAGCTGTCCCACTTACTTGTCATAGTAATGCTGTATAGCTGTCCCACTTATTTGTCATAATAATGCTGTATAGCTGTCCCACTTACTTGTCATAGTTATGCTGTATAGCTGTCCCACTTACTTGTCATAGTAATACTTTCACTTTATAAGGACAATCATAACACAATTTTTTCCCTCAAATCACAGACAATGATACCAGGACCCCAGTTAAAGGAAAATGTGTAGCAGGGGTCAAACTCTGATAATGCAGAATTTGATGTGCAATGTGCTTGAGACTATATATATATAATTGCTGCTCATTTGGAGGTGATGAGGTGAAGTCTTAAAAAGTAAAATGCAAAAACATCCTAAACTAATACTGATTTTGTTTTTAAGTACAAAGCGTCTTTGAAAACTCTATATGATGTACCAACTGCTTCCCCCAACACATACTTTGCTCCGTTCAAGCTTCAATCAAGGTTATAGTTTCAACTGATCAGTCCTTCCTCTGTACTTATATATTCTCTTTCACTTAAATATGAAGGAGAAGGTGTAAATATCTGTACGGTAATTATAGAGGGCCGAACTGAATCAAACAATGGTGGTAGCACATGTACACGATGCTCATGTGCTGGTACATTTATACAGCCAACATATGACACTGACAATATTTGTTGAAATCTTTCGCACACTTTAAGACAGTACAAAACATTGCTTGACAAAGCAATTCAAGGGCTATAACTCTCTTAAAGCAGTGGAAACAAAATGGTAGTCACATGCAGTGACTTTTAAGGTGAAATTGGGGCCTCTACAGGCCCTTCCCGTTTATAATCTCCGACGTATTTTCTCAAAACCAACTCAAAATAATAACTTTTTTGAACTAGAAATCTATCTCATACTTTATGAACAGCTAATAGACTGCTCAAGACTTTGTTTTGTTTAGTAAATCAAGGGCCATAATTCTATAAAATGTTCTACAAAAAAATGGTAGTCACACACAGGTTTATGTAATGGATAAGATGTGTGCAGGTCCTGGTCCATGTTTCATGACCATTCCTTATCTTACAGAAATCCTTCGCTAGTTTTTCCATAGGAAAGCATTATTGGGGTTGAGAGAAAATTGTAATAAGAATAGTCTTGACCAGATTGTGCATAGATACAGAAAGTCTGAAATCAGGAATGTCACCCGAATGATTCCAGAGTACCCCCCTCCCAAATTTATCACAGGAAATATAATGACATTTTGTACATACAATTAAACTATCTCAATGAACATTGAGTGATGTCAAATGTTTTTGTAATAAAATGCACAGATGTTTATCAACACAATAACACCAACTTTCACTCTACATCCTATAGTTACCACCACAATAACCATACCTGTATGTCTGACAATAGTCCTAGTCACCTGGCCTTTTCTCACCTGTACCAATACCTAATCTCCTGTCCTGTCCACCAGTTACAGCACCCTTACCTCCCATTACCACCTGTATGTCTAGTCTGATGAAGGCACCACACACTAACTCCTGCAGACAACACAAGCTTTCTCCTTGTGTTCCAACACAAAACATCTCTACACATATGTTACAACACTAAATCCAATGAATGTTTCAGTTAACAATTCAAACTGTCAGAAAGTGATTGTGACTTTCCTCACTCTGAAAGGTTTCACACACCACAGATTAGTACATACAGTTTCACATGAACACCTTACCAGCTGAAAGTTAAAACATCCAACAACTCCAGTTGTGGTTTTCATGTCTTGATTTTTTTGTTGTCCCATATGTAGTTCACAACCGTTGCAAAATTCAACTATTGTCCCACAAATTCATTTGAATCTATTTAAATATTCTAACAACAATGTAATGCACAATTGTGACTCAGCCAGTGTACACCACTGAATATAGGCCCAGAACATGTTATAAGGGTACAAGGACTTGTACACACAAAACCTGTACCAGACAGACATTAATTTTATTCTACATTAAACTTTACCTGTATGTAAACATTTACACTTCAGCTTCCTACCTGTGACATAATTAACAACACAAAGACAGCTCAGCTTGGTGCATTTCACAGGTACACTGTCAGACTATAATGAGATACCTACACAGGGTAGCAAATCTCCAATGTTTTATACATACAATATTGATGGTTATGCTGAGATAGTAAGTCTCATCAATTATGCTAAAAAAACATCTCTGTTTCGTTTATTTCTTTTTCCTTAGAACTTTCTATTTCATCAAATGGAATTAATAGACCCACAAAGATATGCAGGATATGTGCAAACTTATATATATATAATTACAAGAGATTACAAAATTAGTTTTTGTGTGCATCTTTACATATGTTTTAGAGGAATTTTGTAATTGGACAAATGTTTGCAATGGTTTTGGATAGTGCTTCAGTATGCTTAAATACCAAAATCAAATTACTTCATAAAATTCCAATGAAATTTATATAAAACTACCTCAGACTGTTATCATGTGTATTATGAAGACCTTGCCTGCTGTTTTATTCATTGGATTACTCAATCAAATCCATCGAAAACAATAATTGTCATTATTATTGCAAATTTTTTATACTGTTTCAACTTTGTTAAAGACTTATGCTAAAACACAACTGAAAATGACATGGTTTATATAGATTATACTAATACATGTACACCAAAGCATTGTATTGTACAATTTCATATTTAAGTACTTTTGAACTAGAGCCTGCAAGTATGTTTTGGAAAATTCTACAAACCCAAACCTTATATTCATAGTCAAAATTGATTTTTTTTATTAGCCCTGACATAAAATCTTCTAGCCCCCAGCGTGGTGCTGATGGAGTTGTACACCCAAACCATGTAGCAGACAATGTTTACCATCCCTAAAGGAACATCAAACATAGCACCGTTTGTATTCAATGGCGAGTCAAAGTGTACATTACTATGGTTGTCAATGTTATGATCATCACAATTAACGTAAAAACTTGTGTCATTTGCGCAGTTCTTTTGTGTTGAAATTAAGTTTGAAGTTGGGGGTGCGCAAATCACAAAGCTATGCAGATGTTTTCATGGTTTTTATAAAGAAAGATCGCCAATTTGCATGGTCCGCCATCTTGAAAAGACGAGACTTTCTCCAGATACGTTTGTACACAGAACTTGAAGACATATGAACATTTATTCTGAATTAATAATAAAAGATGCAAAATGGATATTCGTGTTGCTATATGAATTTATAAGGCAATTAACATAAAGTTATTAAGCAAGTAGAAAAAATATATACCATATATACATATATCGGTTATTCCTACAGAAATAGTCCTTTATGTCCAGTACCAGAATCACCTTTGATGTATATATATATATAGGTCATTCCTACAGAAATAGTACTTTATGTCCAGTACCAGAATCACCTTTGATGTATATATATATAGGTCATTCCTACAGAAATAGTCCTGACTACTAGTGGCTGATACAATAATGCTACAGAAATGACAAGCAGATAAGATTGGACATAAGACAAGGGACCTAGGAACATACCAGGTCTATAACTAGACAACTCCACACAGACAACCAGACACTGAAAATTCAAAGTATAGTTAGCTTCACCACACGTCATCACCAAAATTTTTCAGTCCAATTAAATTAATGACATCCACTCTCATATCTTTTTTATTCAGAACTGCATTACATGAAATGAAATTTCAAAATCCCACTATTAAAACCTAAACTCATTCACCCCTGTAGTTTCATAATGAATCATTCCAACCTTTGAACTGGAAGAGTTTAAATGTGTCCTCATGGGTGAATGAGTTTAATAATATGGTGACCTTCACAAGTACAAAATACATGTGTGTATATGATTTATATATTCTTTATTTTTGCTATTAATACAATTTTAAAATTTGAGAAACATCTTTAAAAGCTGACAAAGCTGTGGTACATAACTTGATATATATTTATATATATATACCTAGATAGTGGCCTACCTATTCACAAGGCACCACAGCAATAACATCAGTACCCTCAACAAGGCTACTCTCATAACCTGGTAGTACACAGCTAAACACACAGCCCCATCCCTAAAGCTCAACACCATCCCTGTATCTGACGTAAAAAGTGTTAATCAAATAATATTGATACTTAAGTCCACTGTCTGATCCCAATAAATAGAATGATAGTTATCAATGAATGACACACCTGGTTAAATACTATTAGGTGTGGGAGGGCTCAGTCTGGTACAAATATAGTCCCTAGCATTACATTGTAACTTCCTACGGACACGATGGCTAAATGTACATGTAGGTGGAAACAGACCAACAGACAAGTCTCTCACACCTGTTTAACTAGTAAATCATTAATTATATACAATCACACCTTACCGTGCCTTATTCAATGAGAGTTGTCTGACAATTATTACAACTGTAACTGCACTGACTGACCATGATCCGTCTCCCATACCTAAAGTACTGCACACTGCCTAATTGTCTGATTACTACCTGTACAGGTGGGTCAGTCTCCACACCTATAGTACCGTACACTACCTAATGAGTCGTCTGATCACAGATGGGTCAGTCTCCACACCTATAGTTCCCTACACTACCTAATGAGTTGTCTAATCACAGATGGGTCAGTCTCCACACCTATAGTACTGTACACTACCTAATGAGTTGTCTGATCACAGGTAGGTCAGTCCCCATACCTATAGTACCGTACACTACCTAATGAGTTGTCTGATCACAGGTAGGTCAGTCCCCATACCTATAGTACCGTACACTACCTAATGAGTTGTCTGATCACAGGTGAGTCAGTCTCCACACCTATAGTACCCTACACTACCTAATGAGTTGTCTGATCACAGGTAGGTCAGTCTCCACACCTATAGTACCGTACACTACCTAATGAGTTGTCTGATCACAGGTGGGTCAGTCCCCATACCTATAGTACCGTACACTACCTAATCAGCTGTCTGATCACTGCTACCTATATAGCTGGGTCTGTCTCTCAAGAAGAGATATAAATATGTCACACATTCTGTTAACTGAAGATTTTGTTTGCAACTTTACTGAAACATTATGGTAGAACGTTTTGTTTGTGTTTAAGTTGATGTTGGTTGACATGTATATATATGTGCTGTTGTGTAGTAAACACTGAAGCATATAAGATACTATCCCTTGATTCAACATACAGTAAAATCAGTTCAGGCAGTACACTCTATTTGTGTATCAGGTTACATCGCTTTCAGTTTTTTTCCTTACTATTTCTTTTACCAAAAGAGATATAAATATGTACACATGTGATTGTCAGATCGTGATGATTTTACAATACCAACAAATATACCATCTACGTAATGAAATAAAAAATAACCCATGTACTTTGTACCTACAGAGATCAACAAATAGACCATGCATCTACCTAAAGATATTAATAAATAATCTGTCGACCTAAATAAACAAATATTCTGTTCACATTTAGAGGAATAACAGCAAAAATGCTTTCCACCCATTATAATAAAAAACATTCTGTCCAACAGTTAATGACAAACAATCTGTGTACCTACCTAATACCCTGAAACAATAACATTATTAATAGTCACCTGGAAAATGGACATCACCAAGTGAAATTTGTATAGTAGCTAATTACTGTGTGGTACCTACATGATACATACATGGTACATACACAGTAGTTACAGTGTATACGACGACATCGCTCACTAACATTGTCATTTACTTGGTAGTTTGTACACAACCTAGCGCTTTACCTAGCGTCATCTTAGTCATACCTCCCGGAAAAATATCAATTATATATTTATACACATAAATCCCCCAGGAGTGCCTAACTCACTAATATCCAACAAACTTCACAGTAGACATATACTACTGGTAAATAAAACACTGGACAAATCTTTACAGCAGGTACAGTAACGATTGATCCTTGACATTGAGACATTTATTGAATATAGATTTATATATCTAATGAAAAGTCATTATACACAATCACAAGTGGTTTTGTTTATGTTGCAATGACGATTTGTCACATGTTGCTTCAATGCTAAGTGGACAATATCCGTGTATGACCTCACTTGATTTGGTAAAACATCTAAAATGAATACCTCATTGCTAGTAGATGGTCATAGAAGAATAATGGTCATTGAAAATTGAAGTAAATCATGGATAAATGTGTCTCATAAATTTTCATAAAACTTGATCAACCTGAAGAATATGTTATATAGGTAAGTTTGCTAGATGTTGTATAGTAAGATGTCACTGACAGAACACCACTCACAGACATTTTTAAATGTCTGATGATCCGATAAAGAAAGCATTAACAAGTTTACATTTCCTTCAACTGTTAAAAAAATGTAAATTTGTTTACATTTTGTCGCACATAAAATTGTTGTGAAGGGCAAGAAACAAATTCCTTCAAGCAAAAACACTGGTGAGTTAAAAGATTTAAAAGGCAGTGTAAAATGTTTGAGAGAATTGATGACCATGTAAACAAAAGTTTGAAAGTCGAAAATTATACTGAATCCAAAATGAAATTGTTTCTACTTTACAGTCCACTGCGTCAAGAAAGTACATCAGTAATGGCCCAGTTATCTGATTAGGATCGCTATATTTAGTAGTGCTGTCCAAGTCTAGCACACTGCTTGAGAATGTGATAAATTAAAATAGTTACATTATAGTGATAACCAAATTTAGCACACTTTCTA